ATCAAACACAAGAAGAGCTACAAATACAGTCACACTATCACAAAGTACTAAGGAAATGCCACCAATACATACATACATACACAAAATTTTAATTTTCATAAGGGCTATGCTCCTTCAAGTACTTTTAGTTTCTCCTCCCTTTTAGTAAGAAAGGATACCTTCAAATGATTGGTTGGTAGGTGAGTCTTTGGTTTCAGCTTCAATGCAATGGTGCATCATAAGAATCCCTTTCCATAAGCTTTAATTGAATTCTCCTACACATTGGATCCGTAACTTTATATTCTACTATTCACAGGCCTATATCTTTGCTTGAAAAGCCCACAAATTCTTTGCATTCTGATCAAAATTAGCTATTGTCTATGTCAGTTCTGCTTACGTATTCATCAGTTCATGGAGGATAATTTGGTCCTACACTTTTGTACTTTCTATGATAGTTGATCTCTGCAAACTCAATTTTTCATGTTTTTAAGAAAAGGACCAGAGCATCTTTAGTGAGTGTCAACATTGCCTCCTCAACATTTTGATACTTCTATTGATATTTAGAAGGATGGGAATACTAGAACATTGACATCTTAAAATATGAGAAATCTCCTCTAAGAGGCATAAAAACTAGCCAAAAGAACTCTGAGGTTGCACTACACCAACACAAAAGGATGCACAACAATTGGCTTAAGGAACTTTAGGGAGGGTTGCACAACAACAGTGTAGAAGGAGGCACAACAACTAGCCAAAGGAATTCTAAGGGTTATGATACACCAGTGTAGAAGGATGCATAATAGCTAGCCCAAAGAAACTTTGGGGGTTACACAATGCTAGTATAGAAGGAACAACAGTAAGTCAAAAGACTCTAAACACTTCAAAAGGAAAGTGTGCCCTTTCCCTTCTCTGTTTGGCCTATTTATAGGCTTAAAATGGTGGAAACAAGACCCCAAATTTGTGAAAAAAAAAATGAAATCTCACATTTGGGGGTGTAACAGTCATCAGATTTTGCACAACTGGTGGTTGTCCTGTCTGATTCACCCACATTCACTGTGTCTTGTGATTCCCATGTGAAGTATTGCACGATTCATGGGTCGCGACGTGCGGTCCAATTCAAGACCAAGATTTCTGACCTGACCCACGAGCACCTTCTGAAAAAGCCTACATCCCCAACGTGACCTAATGCAACATGGTGGACCAGAAAACCACCAATGATGTATGTCTGACTTGACTCAGCAGCATGCACCAACCATGACTCAGTTGACCCGTGCACAATCTGTCACATGAAGTGACACATAATGACTGTTTGACCCATGCATGACCCACGCTTGCACACCCACCATTCTCACACATGTTTAACGGTCACCGTCCTCTATCACTGTCTGTTGCTGGCAAACTCAAGTTTTATGAATTTTTATCATATTTTTTCATATTATTTTTAGATGGTATAAGCAAAATTACAAATAAAATAGAGAGAAAAATGATGTGTTATCAACAAATTTCATTTCTTAGTGCAAATCCAAGGCATATTGCATGGAACTCAATGTATATTTTAGCAAGAAATGTTCTATGTTTCTGTTCAAATTAAAAATTATGTAGAATTTCAATTTCAACAAACTTGTAGTTAAACAGACAGACTCGATGAGACAAACCCAATGAAACTAAAACTAGTCTAATACAAGTCTATTCAAGCCCAAATCAAGTCATTGGACAACAATTGGAGGCTTTGAGTAGTTTGTTGAAGGGTCAAATGAACTCTAAATTTAACATACCTATAGTCAAATTGAGCTTCTTGTTAAGAGGAACCCAATAAGTAAAAGATCACTTGATTCTGAGGTCCCTAAGGCCCTTAGATCATTAAAAAATTTCCTATGATCAAGAGAAATAAATACTGATTATGAGAGTCAATCACCCAAGAACCAAAATGCCCATCTTTTGGTGTTATAAATAGACCTCCTCTCTTCACTCAAGGGAGAGAGGAGAAAAGAAAGATAATGTGTCGAATTTTAGTGTTGTTCTAGACTCATGAGCCGATGAAAAATTTTGGCCTACGTAGCAGTCGACCACTATTGAGCATCTCTCATTAGCTACTGTTGAGCATCGTTAGTTGTCGTTGATTGTTGTCGATCATCCCTTGCTTGCTGCAATTAGTTAATCTTTTTCTATAACAATGTATCCGTAATGTAGTGTAATGAATTTTCCCAAATACAGTGTAACAAAATATCCCAAACACGGTGCAACGAAGTATCTCGATTATTGGGTAACAATGTATCTTGAATATGATATAAAGAATAATTCTATATTGAATATCCAACAATAACTCTCAACAATAACAACTTACAACCCCTGTGTTAAGATAATGTCAACTTTCTTTAAACTCCTGAAGTTTTATCCTTACATCGTATAACAACAAGTGATGTTTCTTTTGAGAAATGATAAACATATGAAAAGGGCAGCAGCCACCAACCGATATTAACCAACTTTGGCTTGCGTGGCAAATTGACATTATTGCGGCTTCCCATTATGACCTATATGACTAACTACAACCTATGTAGCTCACTACTATTTTAGATTTAAACTATGGCCTTCCTGACCAAATGTTGTTGTAGCTCCCCATTATGATCTACGTGACCAAGTAAGCCATCCTACATGGTAATTTGCTTTTATGGAGTCCAAATACAGCTTTAGTGGCCAACAGATGCTCCTATAACTACTAACTATGGCCAACTACTATTATTACTTTCAACTACAACCTATATTACAAACTGACACTATTCCAACCACCAACGATAGCATTTGCGGTATACCACTTCTTCTATAGTAATTAACTACAATATTTACAACCTAACTGTCATTATTATCCCTAAAAACTACAGCCATTTTTGCCCAATTACAACTATGAAATCTGGAATACCATTCTACATTTATAATTATCAACTTTATAATTTCAACTTCCTTGATTCAGAAGAAGAATGGACCAGTGCACTTACAATCACATAGGTAATTACTTTGACTAGGTTGGGCTCAGGATTTTTTCCCTTCTATAGGGCTTTCTACGTAAATAATCACAGTGTCTCCTCATGCTGTATTTATTTTATCTGTGTTATATCTTCTTATAACGCTGAGAAATTAAATAAGCACTATCCTACTATGAATTTTCTAGCACGCAACAAGTCTAGAAGACTTTAACAAATTTAACATAGTTAAAAAATGTCTGATATAGAATATAACTAACATCAATGGATCTTTTTCAGTTATAACCATAAAAAATTTCAAATGGAGAGTTCTTTGAGCTTCTAGAAATAGTTATAGTATACACCACTCTAATGGAAATTCAGCCAAATGGAAATTATAGTGATAGGGATCAGGAGATAGAGAGAGAGAGTTAAAAGAGGCACATGAGGAGAAAGAAGTTTTGGTTTTAGATTCTTCCTCCATTAGATTTCCTCCATGTTTCAAATGAGATGGCATTTTGGCAGGTCTTTACTTGGGGAGAGGAAACTTAGAAATTCACTAGGAGGGCTGTTACTCCACTTATTTATGATTCCATGAGTTTTTGTGTAGATTTACTAGTTTCTTCGTTATGACTAATTGCTATGAAAATGACTTTCTCTAGACTTATATAAATGAACCCCTGAGATCATTTTAAAATCCATTGAAACCATTAAAAGCTTCTAAAAACTCTTCTTGCAATTTCTTTTAAAGTTTCTTGTATTAATTTATCTACTATTTATTTACTATAATTTTTCAATAAAGTAACAACACACTTTGGTTATATTGTTTAATATCCTAAAATGAGTTATTCAATAATTATAACTGAAATATTTGTCATATAAAAACATTTAACATTATTATTATTATTATTATTATTAGTACTTAACTTCACAACTTCATTGTTTTATTGTTGAGGCCATATCTTGGAGGACCTAGTTTTTTGGCTTGCTTTTCATCTTGTTGGGTTGTGCTTGCAAGAAGAAAATATAGATTAGGCTAGTTTATTTGAGAACTTAAGAGCAAAACAAAATATATATTAGACTAGTTTATTTAGATTATGCTTTGGAGAAAATGAAGGTTGAAGAAGGTTCACGATTAGAGACAAACAAGTCGAGTTGAGTCAAGCTTTGAATTAATGGAGGAATTTTTATTTGATTATTTGTTTGCTAGAACTCGAGATTGTGTTTGGCTTGAGCTCATTAACTAAGCTCGAGCTCAACTCGAGTAAAAGACATCTAGCTTGAGCTCGACTCAAATACTCAAGCTCAAATAAAAACCTCTAGCTTGTTTCAATTGTTGAGCTCAATTTCAGTTATAGATGTCAAAATGTTTAATATTTTCACAAGTAAAATGATTAAAAGTAATATCAATCGAGCTGACTTCACGAGTTTTTGAGTCGAGTCAATCCAAACTCGAGTTAATAAAATAATCAAGTTTGATAGTTTGAATTTCAATCTAAGCTTAATATCAAACTTGTGACTCGATAAACTCGGCGCTTTAGCTTATTAACAAGTCTCGCTTGCCCTACCCCTACCACCCCTCTTGTTAATAGTGACACCCAAACAAGGAAGAGAGAGAATAAGCCTAGATCAAGCTGATCCACATTAATCCAAAGCTGATTGGATCAATTTAAATATTCATGGACTCAATGCAAGGCCACAAGAAACATTGATAAGATTATAAATTCAATTTGATTCATGGAAGCCAATCGAATAGTGATTTAGTCAATTTATGAGCTAATGCCTGATTTCGAATTGTGTACCAAGTCAAAGGTGGCTGTTTCATAGCTATTTCTTATCAAGATATGAGAGTGAGATTAGGTCTAATCATACAAGGCTGCAATCCATTATGCCATACATATACCTGAAACTTGTTATTTACAACAACCACCCTCTTTCTACCTTTTTTTTCAAAATCTCATACAGTTGCATATTCCAGATCAGTGAGACATTGTAAATAATCTAAACATAAAATGGAAATGAAAGAAATGCTGAGAAACATCTTAAGAACTTGGAATAAATTCCTGCTTTATGCATAATAATGAACCATAATACAAACACTGTAATGGAATAAACAAACCAGAACGTAGACCATCTATAAAATCTAAAAATAATCTTAAAAATAATATCAGGCAGTAACTAAGGTGAAGAACAAAAGATGCTAAAGCTAACCATTACATCAGATCCACACATCTGAAAATCCTCACCATAGAAAACATAAGAGCACCAGGATGAACCCCCCCACCTTCCAAAAAACCAAAAGGGTTTATCGACGCCCATCCTGCATCGATCAACCACGACAAACTGGACGCCAGGACGAATATAACCGGACTGGACCTCGACCGACTCAACAGGACGCACCGCACACCAACAATCCCCAATCTTCAAGATAGCTGAGATGTCTTGTACAACTTGGAACCAGAAGTTCCCCTACACATACAAGGAATTTTCAATAACTACTAAAAGTAAACAAGTATCTAAGGGATTGTTTGGGATCAGTTTTGTTTTTGGTTTGTCGTTTCTGTTTTATCTTATGTGTTTTAAAATATTTTTGTTTAATGTGTTTTTAAATATTTTTATTTTTTTTATTTTTAAAAATAAATAAGCATACTTTCGAAAAAGCTCAAAACAATTTTTAGTTGTTCGAGTGTTCTAAAAAACAATCATAATATCGGAATCAAATACACCAAATATGTTTCAATTCAAATCAAAACATTAACAAAAAATAAAAATAAAAAATAGAAAAAAAAACCTAAAGTAATCCCAAACGGTCCCAAAGTAATCCCACAAATATTTTTTTATTATTTTAATTTTTCGTTTTTATTTTATTTTATTTATGTTTTGATTTGAATGAAAACATGTTTGACTATTTAATTAAAACAAGCTTGTTTTTACAAACATTCAAAACATCTAAAAGTCGTTTCGAGTGTTTTCAAAAATAATATTTGATTATTTTTAAAAATAAAAAAACATATAAAATACAATAAAAAATGTTTTCAAAAATAAAATAACAAGCAAAATTGATCCATGGCAAGTCTTAAGAAAACCTGGTATGATATTCTACCTCTAGCCAAATTTGAATCCACCAGAAGGAACAGAGTACTGTTCATTGGCACCAAAGTTGAATCCAGTCTGAGCAGAATCTCCAGCCGGCATGGCCTCATCCTCCTCTTCCAACCAGTAAGTCTCCAGTATCTTTACAGCCTTCTCATAAATCTCAGTGTTGTCATGGCTCTGGAGATTTTCAATCTTGTCCAGACCTTCAGCTTCATCAATCATCTGAGCATAAAGGTTCACCCCTCCGGTGGTTCCAAGGTTCTTCTCGGCCTCGCCAACTTTAAGGATATTCTCAAGACCTTCCAAACAGACCGTTACAATTCTGGGGTCAGGGCAGACGAGAAGATCACACAAGGGCTTGATGCAGCCCTGAGTAACTAAAAACCTGAGCTCCAGAAGATAAAATTAGAGCTTGTATGAGAAGCATAAAATTAAACTAATTTGTATCCATGTAGGAAAATAGTGAAGGGAGGAAATAAATACTTTATCTGATCATGGGTGCCTCCAGAAGTGGCATTTGAGATGGCCCATGCAGCCTCTTTCTTAATATCAAACTCTGCGTTTTGAAGCAAATCTACCAGAGGGCCAATAATATTAGCCTCAATCACAGCCTGTGATTAAAAATATCGAATCAAATTTATCGATCATGTAAGAAGTTCAATTGTTTTTATATTGAGTTTATTTCAAATTTTAGCAGTTTTCACTCATGATAGGTGATGGATGGAATAAACAAAATTTACACACAAGTTTTTGACTTGTTTATATGTCTTAAGCACTTATAAGAAGCAGTGGCTGAGAGCCTTTATGTTTGCAAGAACAAATAAACCCAGAAAGTTCTGCATACAATACCTGTATTTGCTCTTTATTTCCAGCAGTAATGTTTGAGATAGTCCAGCAAGCCTCCTTCTTAATACTTTTCTTATAACTCTGTGTCAGCAGATTCAGAAGGAATGGAAGAGCTCCGTTGCCGATGACATACTGATCAAAGCATTACAAAATGAAATAAGAGAACGATGGGTAATATTCCAAAACTCATTAGAACACATCCAAAAGGTACAAAAAGTGGTTTCCTCAAATAAATTGATACAATTACAGAAAGATTGAAAGAATTTATCAAAATAAAGTAAATCTAAAATTAAAGTGATCAAAGCAAAAAAGGAGCTATTTTAAATATTACTAAAATTACACAACTAATCTTCTCAAAATAATTAGATATTTAAGGACATTGAAGGTCAAATTAGATGCCTTAAAATAGTCTGGTAGTTTCAATAGGAATGTTTCTTCATCAAATAGGTCACAGTCTCTCAAATTGCGCCGCATCTTCGGATACAAAACTCACACCACAGCATTGGGTTTTCTTATCATCTATTAATATTTTTACCTGAAAGTGCAAAGGGGTATGACAAGATTATCCATTTACTTGGATAACATCAATGGTCGCTAGCAAAAAACATAGCCTTGACAACATTACACTAGCTGAAAGTCGGAAGTTAAATTAACTGTCACCGCAAGTGCACATTAACAGTCACTAGCCAAAACTTTGCCGTAAACACATCAGACTAGTTCGAAAGTCAGAAATTAAATTAACTGTCACTGCACATTAACAATGATAGCTCCTGGAAAACTGTAAGAAACAATTGAAGCTAACATTTCTGTTAGCTATTCATGTAGTTGCTAAAACTTTGTCTTGGTATAGAGAGAAAGTGATAAAATGAAACCCCTCTAATTTATGGGTTCAAAATGAAAATGAAATTAAATCCCACTAATTTATGGGTTCATGATGAATCAAAAGGCATTGGTTTGACTTATCAATCTTTCTATCCTTTATTTAATATACTTCCTTTCAAATCTTAGTATTTGAACTTGGCCTTAGGAACACTTACACATACCCTGATTTATTTTCTCATGTCTGTTACAAACCAAAGGTAAATTCCAATATTGGTATTGAAAATATATGGGGTATGCCTACAGCCACAGAAATATCCAAAACGAAGTTGGTAATCCCGGAAAAAAAAATGCCATTGCAGGTCCCAATAATGGGAAAAGAAAGATTGAGTTCATTTTAAGTCAACATTCGATTTTAAGACTTTAAAATAGGACAGCCCATGAAATTAATACACATTTTAAAAATGTTGCTGTTCATCTCACCATATTCGCTTCGGTTCATGCGACAAGACTGGATTTTTTTGTCCTAGATATCTACATGACATCTTCAACCTTGTCTTCTTTAAAAACTCTATTACATAGATGAAGCCATGACTAAAGTAGTACATACACTTGTCATCATAGCTTCCAAAGCTCAATGATTTTTTATCATCTTATAATAAACAACTCAAAACTGCAACAGGACAGTATAAGTCAAACAAAAATAATTATTTTTAATCATTTGTATGTTTTATCATTTTCTTCCCATTTCAAGTTAGCTCACCAGTTCAGTTTGTTACTATTTAGCCTGCTAAATTAGTTTACATTACCGGTGACTGCAGTAATATTTCTATTAGCCACAATATTAGATGAAAGTTGACCTCAAAACGCTCTCACACAGTTTGGTAAATCATTCCATCCTGCCTCTGATTGCACAAGCTAAAACAAAAAAAATTAAATGATACTAATTCTACTCTTTCAAAATAATAATAATAATAACGATAATAGCTGTTCTTTCTAGTCACTTGCAAGCCTACTAAAATCATCACTCAACGGACTAAAAAAAAAAACAAAATAATCAGCTACACGGTCTGGCCAATAAGTCAGTAAGGATAATTACCCATAAAAGCTATAGGAAAAAAGAAAATATTGCTCATGCCTGGTAATCATCGTAACATGGCTCCTTAAATGACATCTAAGGTAGACAAGAATAAAGACAAGATTATCCTTCAATAATAATATAAAGATGACAATTTCCAATACATTTATATGTTTGCTATATACTTCGTACTATACCAATGCTCCTCTCCTCAACATGGTCCCTTCACCAATAAGCATGATGATCTGCAAGTACCCTTGACATATTCTTTTTTTCTGTATTTTTTTTAATTCTCAATGTGGAATAAATTAGTACTAAATCCAGAAACTAGAACAATCATCAAGACGTGTTCCCCAAATACTCAACAAAAAAGAGGAAAAAAATTTTAAAAAAAAAGAAACAAAAAAGCAGTTCTTATGATTGGAGAAAATCACTTCTGGTTGGTCAAATTTTGACCATAAATGGGGACAAACAATATAACATTCCAATCAATGTAGATTTAAATACAACCCTTTTTATCTAGCTCTTCATTGCTTTATGTTGATATATTCAAGGATATAAACTTTTCACCTCATGAATCATGAGTTAATAGCATTTGCAAGTATATCACTTCTATATGTTACAAATCACAAAGTTCAATATTGCAAGCCTCGCACAAGGTCTTACTGCGATGGAAATTCACTGAGAATTGAAACAAGTCCCCATTTACAACTTTTAAAAAGAAGGGAGGAAAACAATTTACAAGTGAAAACAACGTAAAAATTATCACATGAATCATCCGATTTCTTTAGTTTCACACTCTAACTAATATTCTGTATCTTCCATTTTTTCTTTTCACATCTATCTACCTTTCATATTTCTCATACATTTGCATTTCTTTCAAATTTCTGCATCAGTATCACGTTATTCCCACGCGTCTTCATCATTACAAAGCCCATAAAACAAATACAATAACAAATAAAAAAGAAAAGAAATTATATTCAATCCATGAACCGAGTTTTATCATAAATAACCAAGTAATTCAAAAAAAGAAAATTTGAAACTTCAATTATTAAAAAAAGTCAGAAAATGAAGAGTAAAAAAGCATTGTCAATACCAGCAAAAAAATCATAGTTACAATCCATTATGCCCTCTTCAAAAATTTGTATTGCTGCGTCCTTCTCATTAGAATGAATAATTTGTGCAGCTCATTAAGTTTAAAGAACAAAAACATACATAAAAGCGAACAAATTAAATAAATAAAAGAAAGAAGTATTCAAGCTTTGTCCCCTACTTTACACTAAAATAAGTGATTAACAAAACACAAAATGGACTACAGGAAATGCAACATATAATATATCATTACTGGTAAAAAAAAAAAGCATCTCCAGTGTTGATTGACAAACAACACAATCACAATACTGATCAACTGTTGCAAATTCTTTTGATCACGAAAGACTTTCTCTAGGTTTAAATGCCTAATGCAATCCAAAATTAGTGTGTCCACCGAACACCTTATAGCCCGCAATATAAGTTTTATCAAGGACTACTTAATAAAATTGGATGAATCAGACGCTAAAATGAAATCTCCAAAAAAACAAAAGATGGAAGAAATTAGAAAGCACGCTGCTGCTAATTTCTTACCTGTGTTTGAATATCATCTCCAGTAACAATGTTGCCAACAGTGCGAAGAGCAGGAATTAGAACTGAAGGTGATGGATGGCTGAGGAAGCCATTCAACAACAACCAGATCAAGGAAAAATTAAAATAAAAGATTGGAATGAGGGTGAAGAAACCAAAATAGTAACATATGGAAATATCATGCAAAAAAAAAAAAAAACATACTATAGAAGTTCAACCAGCCGAGGCACAACTTCAGCTTCAATTACAGATTGGATTTTGTCATTTGTACCATCAGAAAGATATGAGAGAGCCCAGCATGCATCAGTGAGGACTTCTTCATCAGTAGAATGAATGAGGTGTTTAAGTGCAGGGAGAGCGGGCTTTGTCTGGTCCAAGGAAAACTCAGTTAGGCAATGCAAAAAGTAAAATAAATGAACATTTACATACACACCACTCAATTTTTACGAATGTTCACAACTAACACCTAAACTTCAATTTTTAGTTAGACCGCCGCCTTACCTACGCATGAATAGGTGTATTTCACTTTTTAAAAGTTAAAATGGTGGTATTTTTAATGTGATATAAAAAATTTGGGTGGTATAGATATAGAAAAACAAAGTTTAGGTGTTAGATATGCATATACATAAGAATTGGGTGCTATGCATGTAAATGCCCCTAAAATTTAAAAAAAAAGAAAAAAAACAGCTCACAAGTATACAGTAAACAAGCATATGCATGATGCCAAACCTGCTCAAAGTTGGGTTGCGGCTTCCCCCTGCAAAAATTTGATAAAGTCCATGTGGCATTCCTAAGCATGGAAAGCTTAGCATGGTCATTCAGCTGAGCCAGCAGTGGCATCAATGCACCATTGGCAAGAACTAGATCCCGACACTTCGGAGAATCACCAGCAACATTCCCCAATGCCCATACAGCCTAGACAATAATTTCCAAATGAGAAAAAATCAATAACAAATTTATATGTAAAGAACGGGTAAAAGGAATAGTGCTCCTAACCATACTATCTTATTATATATTAAGCAGGCAAGGAAGGGAGAACTACTAATTGCTTTAGAAATCCTTCATCCCTCAACAGCACTTCCCAAATTTTGAAATATTAAAACAAAATTTATTTGTAATAAAAGTTCGCAAGAAAAATGAAGTAGGATTTCAACTTCTCAGTTAAAAACCCAAAAAAGCAGCGTTGAAGAATGATTTTTTGGGCTGTAATTCCTAATCAAATGTAAGGAAACCTTCAATATGGAAAAAAATATAGTGGGGTGGAGTAGCTGAAAACATTCCAATGGTCGTTTTTCGACTAAGCAATTATGGGACTAATATGCTCATCTATACCTTATAATACTAATTGTTTAATTTGCAATGTATAAATTAAAAAATAAGTGGAACTTTAATTTAAAAAAAAGGTATGATAAATGACTTCAAATAAGGTGGTTGTATTTCAATATTAACCTTCCATTCAAAGGAAAAAAAATCATCTAACTTCATCAAATAAAGTGATTTTTAATTAATTTAGCTTATAAACCAAAAAACAAATTTGTTCGCCACTTTAGCTAGCCACTTTAATACAACCAAGTTTGGCCTAAGTCGAAAAGAGTTTTCTTTAACAAGATCCCCATCTCAATGAAACTTTGATGAATATTTTAAATCCGTAAAATACAATGCAAATGGTTAGGAAACTTTAAAAATCTAAGAAATGGTGGTTGGTGGAACAATTCATATAATGCTAATGGGAAGGTTCAGTACGTGATGTTCAGATTATTTTCATTGAGATTTGTACATTAGTAATGTCAACCAAGATCAAAAATATATATTTTTTTTATATATAAATAAGTTAATATTTCATTGAGGTTGCAGAGCGTTGAAATATAAAAATACAAATTCCAATGCCAAAAAACTGTCCAAGATGGGGGTGGCAAGGAAGGGGATATTATTTTCTCCTCAAACTGGTGTTTTATATTTCAATTAATTCCAAAAATCCTCAAGTCCTAATTGAAACCATATTCAGAAACAAACGAAATTAAAGAAAGCAGAAACATATACCTGCTCTCGCACATCATCACTTGGAGAACGAAGAAGCCTAACAAATATAGGTACAGCCCCATGGTCTATCACAACTTTGGTATTATCTGAGGTCCCTGAGGCAATGTTGGTAAGTGCCCAAGCAGCTTCAAACTGCAACAAAATTCTCATGTATTTGGATATAATTATAAATTAGATTTGGACAAGTATGAACTGAATCCCTTATCCAACCTGAAGCTGCGGAAAGTCATCTCTTGTAAGAAACTCAACAAAACGGGGAACAACACCAGACTGGATAACCTCCTCAATGGGAGGGCTGCGTTCTGTTTGAAGAATTGAGCCCCATATCAGCAAAGTAAACAGCATGAAATTTATTTTAAATAAAACAAAAGTTTGAATAAGAAAACAGAAGGAGCTGATCAATTATGCAATACCTATTGATAGTAATTTACGAAACTGCGTTGTTGCTTCAAGCTGCAACGAGCTGTCTTCCGAGCAAACCCCGGAAATCATAGCCGGAAGACTCTCTAGCTGTGACCCCAGCACCATAAGAAAGCAATTTTCATTAGAATTCAAACTATGGCCATAATAAATAAGTGCTGGTAACCGGTATAGCACGAAAACCAAGGGATAAAAGGAAAAAAGACTAGATCGCAATTAGATCGAAAAAAAAGCGAGACAAGGTGGGAGTGCAAACCTTTTTCTCGACGGTTGAAGATTGGATAGAGGTGGGGAAGGGCTGAACTTGCATGCCTTCGCGACGCTTCTTCTGGAGGTTCTCCTCCCGCTTACTCTTACGGATCTCGACCATGTTATCCTCCCTCCGCCGCCGCCCCTCCTCCGCGTCCACCGCTACTTTGTACTTATTTCGGCGGACCTCCGCTCGAGCGCTTGGCCTCAGCGACATCTCCGCAGATGATAACGATCGACAGGAAAGAGATGAACGCTAGAGAATCGAGGGGAAGAAGCCGCCGCAGTTGTTGGCGATCGACAGGCAAGAGATGAACGACCACAGTAAACGCGGGGAAGAAGCACGAGAGCAAGCGAAACCCTAAAAAGGCAAAGCAACCATGTTTCTTTGTTTTTTCTTTTTAACAAGTTCCACGATTTAAAATCATAGAAATGTATTCAGTAAATTTTAATACACCCCCCATTATCTTGTGTATTTATATATCTGTCAATTAAAATTTATATTTACAAATATAATATTTAAAGCCTACATTAGATTAATAAAAATAAAGGTAAGAAAATATTTTTTAGATAAAAATTTGTATTGTTATAAAATAAATATACATATAAATGATTATTATGGAGTGATTTATGATCA